CAAAAGCCCAGAAGTGGAAAATCCCCACTGGCTCAGAGCAGTAGAGGGGTTTATGACACATAGTTTGGCCGATTCAGTCGGTGGGCAGCGCAGCCCCGATGCACCAGCTGGTGGATCCACGGCCTGCACTTTCGTTTATTTGTGAGGGCGGGGGGGGGGGGGGACTTGGTGCTGGTTAATTATGAACCTTTATGCAAAGCAGCCCAATAAAGGAGAGGAGGAAAAGCCGCACGGATGAAATAAAACTCCCCCCCCGCCCCCTCCCACCGAGATCTGCGGGGCTGCCCACTGGGGAGGAAAGCTAATTGGCGCCCCGGCGCCTGGGGGTGCCACAGAAGTGGGTGACCCCCTGGGCTGTGCCCTTTCTGCAGACCTGATCGTGCCACGGTTTATTGCTGGCGCTGCAATGGGGCTGGCGGGGGTGGGAGGCTGTGTTGGTGCAGAATCCGGTTGCTAAGACGGAGCGGAAGGCGGTCGTCATGTCAGGGCTCCTGGTTCGTCGCACTGCAGAATCCAACCCCGGGGCGGCTGGTCCTTTAAGTGGGGGGGGAGGGGGCAGCTGTCCTGTGCCAGCCTCAGCTCACCTCTCCAGGTGGAGGGGAGGGGGGCGCTTGGGGGAAGGGCCGGGTCTAGGACCAAGGAGAGTTCGCCTGGGAATGCAGCCCCATGGGTGGAGAAGACCAGGGAGCTGGGGGAGCAAACCCCCAGCAGGATAGAAGGAGACGGGCCTGAGATACCAAGGCCTGGGGAGTGAGAGTAGAACAGAAATCAACGTGGCCTAGTGGATTGACCCTTCCCCTGCCTCGTGCCTCAGTTTCCCCATCTGTCAAATGGGGATAATGCCACTGACCTCTGTTGTAAAGTCCTTTGAGATCCTGCTGGATGGGGCGAGCTAGGGCGCGGGAACCCGTGACTTCGAAAGAAACACACCTCAGGCCAGGATGAGAAGGGGCTGCAATCTTTGAGCCACTGGCTGGCGAGAACAGAGGACTGGGATGTCAGGGTTCGTAAGCCGTGCGGTTGTCAGGCAAACACAGGCCTTTTACCCTACAACACTGGCCCCGGGCACGCTGTGGGAAGGGCTCTCCCCTACAGTCCTGCCTGCCAGATGCACCCTGTCCTACTAGGGAACGGGATAGAGCACAGGACGACTGGCTTCTATCCCTGGCTTTGCCACTGATCTGTTGGGTGACTGGGGGCCAGTCATTTGCCATCTCCGTGCCTCAGTTTCCCCTCCCAACCTTTGGGTATTTCGATTGTGAGCTCTTTAGGGCAGGTACTAGCTTTCACTGGATGTCTGTGCAGCGCCCGGCACGATGGGGCCCTGATCTCGGCTGGGGTCTGGGCAGCGCCCGGCACGACGGGGCCCTGATCTCGGCTGGGTCTGCGCAGCGCCCGGCCCGACGGGGCCCTGATCTCGGTTGTTGTGTGTCTGGGCAGCGCCCGGCGCGACTGGGTCCCAATCTCGCCCGGGGTCTGCGCCATGCAATTTGCATCCTTCTCCTAATGAATCTATAAGGGGCACGAGGCCAAAGTTAAGGGGTGCTGAGATCCAGCCCGCCAGCTCCAGCTCTAACCGCAGCCTTCGTTTCCCAGCAGGCCCTAATGACCCTCATTTGGCAGCTGATGCGATCGGACAGGCTTGCCGTGTTTCCAATCAATTTGCTGTTTCCCCTATTGGATTAGCCAGGAGCCCTGCAGGCGGGTAATTGGAGTAATTGATGCCATATGGAACACAGGACGGGCTCTGCTGCCATGGGAGAGGGGCCGGAGTTCCCAGCTAAACAGCCAAGGGGGTGCGGGGTTACAGATCACGCTGCCCGGGGAAAGTTAAACCCGGCTGGTGCCTCTTCTCCCTTCCTGGTGGAGGAACGCAGCCTGAAAGAGGCCCGTTTCTCTGCCCCAACTCCTCTGGGCCTGGCTCTCCGTCACGCTCAGCGCCCTTTGCCCCGCTCTGGCAGCCCGAACGGCCCCTGAGCATCTCCCCAGGGTGGGGGGCTTCTCCAGCTGGCGTGGAGTTGGCGTACAGCCTCCTGTCTAGGGGCGTGGGCAGAGCGCCCTGCGCTGTGGCTAGTCTCTGTCCTCCGGGGAATTCGGCCAACATCCGCGTCGCCAACTGTTGTGATTTCGTCAGGAGTCTCCTGATATTTGGGGTCTTTTCCCAAAGTCCCAGCTGCGGGAGGCAGGGGATTTCGGGAGTCCCTCGGCTCTCGTTTTAAACAGAAATGACGCTCGCTCCTCCCGGCGGCAGCGAAAAGCTGGGGAACGCCGCGATGGAGAGCCTAGAATCTGTCCTCTCCTTTCAAATCTCGGGGGGGGTTAAGCCACGCTGGTGATTTGGGGGACCTTAGCGCTGGCGAAGCTGCGACAACTCGCTGCCTCCAGGGGAAAGTGCCTGGGGTACCTTAACGGGCTGGCACTGAGGCACGTGGGCCGGGGTGGGCGCAAGCCCCCGGGCCACCCAGGCTGTGCCTGCTCTGCGGATGAGTGGCAGCTGGCAGGCTGCGGGTCAGACTTCCCCAGCGCTAAGTATCCACCGGTCCCCTCTGACCTCCCCCCTCCAGTGCTTGATCCAGCCAAACGACGCAGCAGCTCCTGGTCAGTTGCCCCCTCACCGGCCCTAGGGACCCCAAAGGGGTCTGATCTCTGGCCAGTTTCTCCACCTCAGCCACAACTAGAGCAAAGCAGTTTGCTCCCCCACCCGCCCGCCCCCCGCAGTCACTGGACACTGCCAGATGCAAAGCAGATCTGGCTACCGCCAGGTCAGAGAGACACAAACGCTAAGCACGAGCAGGTGCCAACACTCCCCCAGTACGACCAAAGCACAGGGCACTGTGCCTATTCTCTGCCCCCACAAGGCCAATACGGGTGGATCAGGGCCGTGGCCAGAGCTGGGGTGGGGGACTAGGAGGCAGGACTCCTGGGTTCTCTCCCTGGCTCTGGGAGGGGAGTGGGGTCTAGTGGTTAGAGCAGGGGG